CCCCCCTTTTCTCGACAAGGCCAGCCAGCACCCTGGCAACCAAAGAAAAGACCAGCCCCTGCCCTGTGCACCCCCCATCCTGTGGTGTCTACCTTGGTGTATTTTGCAAACTGTTAAAAATTAATTAATTGTGTAGATAAAAGTGTAGACAAGCAACCGTGTTAATCTTTTAGGCAGCAATATAAAGGCGTTCTTGAAAGTAAGCTGAGCACAGAAAAGCTTCTCATGGGTCAAATTTCCCACCGACTGTCCCACTTACAACCGGACACACTGTGGGGCAGCATGTGGTGGGATGGGTGGGGCCTCTAGTCTCAGCTCCGCCTCTCTCTAACTCTGATCTCAGGTAAGCCACATCAGCTCCCTGGCCTCCATTTCCTTATATGGGAAATGAAGGGACTTGATGATCTCTAATGTTTCTTTCAGGTAGAAAATTCTAGGTTCTTTTGGGAACACATGAATGGTGACATGCCCTGCACTCTTTGAGAGGAAGGCATTAAATGTTACTTCATGCCTACTTTCGACCTGCTCTGTTCTGATTTTTAAGTCCACTGAGAATGATTTTTAAGTTCCCCAAGATAAGCAAGACCCCAAATCCTTCTGTTTCCCCTCATCTGTCCTTTCAGGAAAGCCAGGTGTCTCCAATATGCTGTTTACAAAACTGAAAAGTGTTAGGGACACTTTGCTGCCGCAGAGACCGAGAAAACCATCTTGGCCTTGATATGGCAACATTCATTCTCAAAACACAAAGTTGATGGCCCCTCAACTTGTAGACCCCTGGGCAGCCTGCGCCGAGAAGCACTGCTTCCACAGGGTGGCTGGCAGGTGCAGCTGCAGCTCTTCTGTGACACCAGGGTCATGTGACAGGTCCCCAGATACATTTGCGCAATTTCCAAAGACTTTTACACACATTTTCTCATGGAATCCTTAAAAGAGCAATATGAGGAAGGCTGGGAAATGATTAAAACCAACCCTGGCAGATGAGGAGAGGGGTTAAATGGTTTATCTGCAACCACGCCACAGGCCAAAGATTGGACACATTCTGACCTTGAGTGAGTTGCTCTTCCCTTGGTCCCTCATCTCTTGGTACACACAGTCACCAAGGAATTACGCTCATTTTTTTTCTTCTCATTTCCTCATCTTTTCCAAGGAGACTTGTATCTCTTCGAGTCCTGGGTGAGGGATCCCCCACTTTCTCACCTCCCAGTCTGGGGGTGTCGCCCTGTGGCGGCTCTTCTCTCACTCTTCCCTTTCCTCCTCACTCCCAGGGTTGGCTGACCTCACGGAGTGGGCGCAGCCAAGTTCTGCCTGGTCACCCTGACTCCACTCTGTGTCTAGGTCACAGCACACATACCAAAAGCCATCACTGCAAGTATCAGGCACACCTGAAATTTCCTGGGATTGGCTGAGGAGAGGATTTATAAAGCCCGGCTTCCCCCGAGTGGCTCCATTTATCACTGCCTCAGAGACATGCACATGGTTCCTTGTCACACACCTTACGCAGGGTGAGAGGGATAGAGGTTTGCTTGTACAAGAGCTGCCAGGCAGCTGACTGACCTTGGTGAAAAGGGAGATAATTACACAGCTGTTCAGCAACAAAAGCAAAAAAGAAATGGAACATAAGTGAACTGTGCTCAACAGCACAATTTTTCTATTTGGGGGATGACTGGTGTTGCTTTGAAAAACCGCTGCTCTTGGTTAGTAGGGATTTCAACATGTCTGTGTTCCATGCAGTGGGTGGTGGAGGATGCTTGATAAATTTCCAAAATTCTTATCCTGCTAGGAACATTCTAGAAGGGTAACTGGGGGCAGGGCTCTGTTGGGCCTTGGGCCTTAGATGACAACCTCATACCTCCTGTAATAAAAGCGAGATGCCCTGTACAAGCCCCACAGGAGCCATCTAAGGATCTCTTGAGGAAGGCCTTTCCTGGGATAATACTAGATGAGGCATGGGCATCTACCGAACACAACACAACAAAACAGCGCCAAAGGACCACAATGAAACACACAGGAGCAGCCCGCGGGGAAGGCTTTCCTTCAAAGCTGCAGGAATTACACGGTGAGAGAGGACATAGGTGCCTAAGGCCTTCCTTTAACTTAAAGATTTCCCCAGCTGTTTTCAAAGCTGTTGGGAATTTTCTTAAATTTGCCCCCTTTCTGTGACCTCAAGTTCAGGCTTCCAGGTGGTTCCGTGGGCCCTATTATTCTGCTATTGTTCCTGTTCCATTGTTCCTGACCGATTCTGTAGAATTCTCTGCAATCCCTCCTCCTGACACTTTCTTTCAAGAGACGAAGTTCTCTGAATTATTTTTCTTTTTTCTTCCTTATTGCCAGAAATATTAGAGTTTACGAAGAATGTGAGCCAGCCCTCCCCACCCCCATGCTGATTATGCCGACCCCGTACCACAAACCCGAAGAAAAGGAGTCGGGCTCGAATGGAAGGCATGCCTCTGGCAAATGGGCCGTCAAACTGATGGCTGAAGCCTGTCTTTTCAGAACAAACTGATTCATTCTAAGAAAAGGCCCAACTAACTGAAAGGTCTAAATTCTGCAGGATCTTCTGTGATCCCAGGAAATGCTAGACTGTGAACATCTTGACAAAGGCCATGACCTGTGACTCCCGCGCAGCCTCAGGGCTGAACACCTGCTGCTGAGGGAATGAGTCGTCAGGGGCGCATGTTACCTGCTCGGCCAGAATCTGCTGCTGCTGCTGCTGCTGCCGTTGCTCCCGCAGGAACTGTTGCTTCTGCTGCTCCATCAGCTGGGCCCGCTGATCAATGAGCATCTGCTTCATGATGGCTGCCTGGGGCTGGCTGCCCAGGAAACCGGGACCCGCGGGACTGGCGCTGGAGACCATGCCACCTGAGCCTGGGGGCACGGACGACTGCATGGGGCCGGTGGTCCGGGGAAGCCCCACTGGGTGCTGCTCCTGGGAGGAGAGAAAGAGAGGCCAACTCAGTGACTGCACATTCGAAGGGAAGCACAGGGGGAGGGCATTGGGGCCGAGGCCCTGGCTGCGAACCTGAGGGGTCCCAAGCGGCACACATGATATTTCTATACAAACCATACAGTAGACTTCAAAGGCGGCCTTATCACAGCGGAACTGGAAAGGCTCCAGGGGACAGTCATAGAGCACGGCTCTGGGGATCCACCAAGTCCAGTCTGTTTTAGATGGGACTGGCTGAGGGACAAGGACCGGGTTTCAGCTACCATTCTGTGTTTCTCCAAAGAGAAGGAACTAAGCCCTCAGGCTGGACTTACCTTAAGTCTCGAAGGAGACAGCCTGACCTTATCTCTTAATCCTTACTGCCTACCTGGCCAAGATGAGCTTCTTGGGTAGTATAAAAGACATTCACAGAAGTCTGCTGGAATTTATTAACTGACAGATCTGCTGTTTGATGGAATTCTAATTACAGATGACCCTTGACTAACATGAGGTTTGGGGCACTGACACCTGTGCAGTTGAAAATCTGTGTATAATTTCTGACTCTCCCAAAACTTTACTACAGTCCTCCCTCAGAATGTATGGGAAATAGGTTCCAGGACCTCTCACGAATACCAAACTCTGTGGCTGCTCAAGTTCCTTATATAAGATGGTGTAGATCAATGTATACAGCCGGCCCTCATATCCACAGATTCCCATCTGTGGGCTGAAAATACTGTTTTTGATCCACAGCTGGTTGAATCGGTAGATGTGAAATCCGGGGATACAGAGGGCCAACTGTATAGTATTGAAAAAAACCTGAGTATAAGTGAACCTGTGCAGTTCAAATCTTTGTTGCTCAAGGGTCAACTGTAATTGTGACATTTGAAAGCTTTGGTAAAACAAAACAAAACTAAAAATCCTGCTAGTGAGAGTTGTAGATGGTGCGAAGTGGGAACGTGTTACACTGCCTAAAGATATGTAATCTCCCAATATCTTCAAAAATAGAACTGAGTCTCGGATGTCTGGGATAATTTAAAGGTGAGGGTTGAATTGGGTCTCTGTAATTATGCATCAGTCATTCAAATGATGGCAACTGGTCCTTAAGGAATAGGAGGTAAAGTGGTAGAGACCTATTTACACACAGCTCAAGTGACTACTGGAGATAGTGCTCAGCAGGGAAGACTGTAACAGCCGACAGTGTGGACGACCAGGGAAAAACAGCTGATGAGAGTAGGTATAAGACCATAAGATTCAGTTTCCAGACGCTGCCTTTACTGTTCATTCTACCAACCACGCCTGGTAATGGCAAGTATTGTCTGAAGATGCTGCAGAAATATTCCTTTCAGTTCATTCAAGTTTTAAGTAATTAATTCTTACTCATCACTCAAACAGAACAGGCCAAACAACCCAAACACAAAACAAAACACTGTTATTCCTCTCGCCTGGGAAAGAAGAACCCAAGAAGCTCTGGTTAGTTAGTGTAGTAGCCCAGGGCACACAGTTAATACATGGAAGAAACAGAACTAGCAGAACTAGAACACTGATCTTGAGTCTAAATTCATAGTTTCCACTAGCACAGGCCTTTCCCAGGCTACAGGTCTGTAGTGCCAAGTGTGCACTTAGGAATTGCCTTTAAACAAAATATATATAGTATGTCTCCCATAAACGTACTGTGTTCTATTTTTTTAATGCAAGTGTCATTGCTGAAGTTAATAAAACTTTTTGTCTTTATTTTGTCTGTACATAGACAATTATTAGGTAGAGAACTACGTAATTTTATGTTAAAAAGACCTTATACTAAAAAATGCCAGGAACCTTTATGCTACCAGTTTATTTGACTCCTGCAGGGGGTCAAGATATTTGTCTTTCCTTTGCTCTCAATATTTACTACCTGTTTTCCAAGCCCTTCCTTTCAATGGGTTAACAGTGTTTCTTGCCACCTTTAGAAACAAATGGCTAAATGACTTAACACTTAAATTCACATTGAAGGATAGTTAACCAATCAGCAAAAATACAGATATATGGGGCTTTTTTTCTGTGTATTTCAGTGTATTTCCTAGTTTTGATAAGGAGGAGAGAGTTGGCAAGAAAATGGGACCCGAGAGAAGATAAAGTTTTCTTCAGCTTGATTTTATGAGAGGGCTGGTCTGGACAGGCCCTGTTTATTTTTGCACACTGTGAGATATTCTTGTCCTGTGTGACCTGCCCGGGAAGCTGGGGTGCATGCTCAGAAGTGGTAAGTAGTGACTTGTTGCTTTCTCAGTCTTCTTTCCCCTGCTGAAGGTGATGACGCTGTTATGTCCAACCATTTCTGGCCCCTGTCTTCCTGTGGCAAAAATAAATACTTCAAAAGCACACTGGGGGCCCTGGCTGGACAGTACAGTTGGTTAGAGCATCATCTGGATATCTCAAGGTTTGGGCTTCTATTCCAGGTCAGGGCACCTACTAGAGGCAACCAATGAATGCATAATAAATAAGTGGAACAACAAATTAATGTTTCTCTCTCTCTAAAAATCAATCAATAAAAAAATTAAAAAAAACACAGGGAAAAAACTCTTTTCAAATGAATAGTTAGGTTATTCCAACAATTATGTATTTCCCCAAATGACTCCCTCCCCCAAAGTTTTGCCTTCAGGTTTCTCACTGAAGACCTGAAGACCTAGAGGCTGGAGGACTATGTGCATTTTTAAATGATTGCCTTCCTCCAGAGGACCGAGGTAGACACGCCTTTAAGACTCTCCCAACCAGCTCTGCCACATTCGGCAGCTGAGGTAGAGCCCCGGCCTCAGGTGTGTATTCCAGAGTGTGAAGATGTACCAAGTGACTCGCCTTCCACGCTGAGCTGGCGGAGGCCATTAACTGTTTCATATTACATGGTGGCTTCTAACCTCCAGTCTAAGAGGGCTTAATGAGCAACAGCCTGTCGAGATTCAGGACTTCACACCACTGCTCTTGTTTCTGCGGAGGACACACACTGTGTGTGCAGTCAGAGAAAAACTGGCTGAGCTTTCCTCACCAGGGCTGTAATGCCTTGAAGCCAAACGATGCAGTATTTTTAGTTTTAATTACTGGCTTGTTCTCCACCCCACCCCCCACCTGAGGACCGACCTCTCCCTTGCCTTCTACCAAGAATCCTCAGTCTCTTGCCGTCAGCAACCCAAATGGTTCCATAGACCTTCATTACTCCCCAAACCCTTCACTCTTCTGTAAAATAAAGGGAGGGGGAAATCAAAACCAATGAAGCTATTTTACATATCTTTTCTCTTGCAGGGAAAAGATCTTAGCAATTTTCTAAAGGCTGGAGAGAGGTAGGAGGTGTAAAAAACACCCTACCTCCCCCAACAGGCAGTTTCCTACTTCAAAAAACCAGCTGTGGTAAAAATAATCTTCCAAGAGCAGCCAGCTGTTTATTTATAAATCTGTGCGCGGGGAAGCTTTCTTCCTAAGTGTTTTCAAGAACACGCCTAGTGTTTGGGTGAGAGGGGCCAGGGTTGCTGGCGGCGAGCCAAAGATTGC